AAATTTTCTTAACCTAATTAGTGAAACATTAGTAAAATAATTAATTGCTTGAAGGCATCAGAACCAAATGCCATGATGACTTTGGGAGCTTGATATTATCTCTTTTATAGACGTAGAAACTGAGATTTAGTCTTTTAAGATTAGAATATTGTATCTACTTTACCTCAAGTCACCTGTCTTTTGGAGGTGGGTCAATGTCCCTTCATTCAACAAATTGAGAACCTACCGTGTGCCAGACATTACACTAGACACCAGGGATACAGAGAGGAATAGGACATAGTCCTTGTTTTCTAGGAGCATACAGTCTAATCGTGGTGATGAACATGTAAAATAAGTAAACACAATTAAGTGATATAGGTATTAAGAAAGACTCCTAATGTGTGTGCTCAGTAGGGGTTCGAAGGAGGAAATAATTAGTTTTGCCTGGGGTCAGTGGTGGGCTTTCAGAAAAGGATTCCGTGAAGGTGATACTTGAGCTAAGTTTAATTCTTAAAGATAAAGAAGTGTTTACCAGGCGAACAAGTGTCTGGGTATTGCAAGGAGAGAGCATCCTAGTCAGAGGGAATAGAGATGACTGAAGCTATGGCGTAAAATATAAACTACCGTGGCACAAGCAGTTTAATATGACTAGGAGGTGAACTGTGGTAAGAGATGAGTCTGGGGTCAGAGAGTAGAAGTCCTCTTTTTTATTAATACCATGTTAAACAGCTTGAACTTGAGCCATTGATGGGAAAGGTTTTAAGCAATGAGGTAATATGATCGCATTAGAATTTTAGAAAGTCTGATAACAGTGCTAAAAGTAGACTGAAGGGGGCTGAGACTGGAGGCAGGGAGACCAGCTGAGAAACTTTTGTAATAGTCCAGACAAACTAAGGCAATGGCCAGAGAATAGAGAAGAAGGACTAATGCCAGACAGGTTAATCAGATAGAGATTGACAGAAGTTGGGATCTGATTGGTTGTGAGGGCTAAAGAAGATGGGAGTCTAGAAGGGAAACAAGATGAGCTGAGTATGTGGTATATCCACATAGATATATCAAGGGGGTCATTTGGTTTTATAAAGTCTGAAACTTGGGAGAGAAACCTAGGCTGGAGATTTAGATTTGCATCATGGCATATAAAATAACATAGCCATAATCTTGCAGACTTCCTCTTTAATGTAACTAGTTGGTTTGTATTTGGGACAGAAAGATAAAAACGCTTTTGCTTTTATTCTAGAGTCTTCCACTGTAGCCCATAGTGAGATGGTTTTCTTTTCCTTATTTCTTAGGTTGGGGCATTAGTGTTTGCCTAATTCAAAAATGTATCATGGTCTACAAAGAGTGCTAAAGGCATGTTTAAGGTTGTAATATGTGGAATTTCATGTTTGGTTAGCTGCTTTTCTCTGTCTTCTGTCTTATTATCTGGACTTCTGTGTCATTGTG